GTTTGATATATATACTTAATATCTTGCCACCAGCTAGCCTTAGAACTATGGGAGCCATTTCACTTCCTGTTGATCCCATTGTGGAACATAACTGGCCGAAATTCAGTCTCAGGAGCAGCAGTGACAGCCCGTATGTAGCAAATGAAAATACAGCTGAAATAATTCTATGCAGCTCCTTGTAGAGAAAAAAAAACCCTGAAATGCTTGCATTCTGCTAATACATCTTAATTTGTTTGTTAAGAATTTACATCAGGACCACAAAGATGACATGAGCGTATCCTGGATTATCCTCCTTTCTAAAGCAAAATGGATTTAATGTTTTATTCTTTTTATTTTATTCTTTTTTATTCTATGTTTTATTATTAAAGCCAGTATGGGCTGAAATCATTGACTGAGCCCATAAACTCAGAAAAGTGTTTACAGAGATCAGCTCTGAGGACTGTCTTGCCATTGAATTATATGGGACAAGAGGTCTGTCTGCAGCCACAGGCATCACCCCCTGGTGGACATGAAAAAAGAAATCGGGTTTACGCACCTTCAAGCTGGCTTCACTTTTTAGACCTTGAAGCTTTCTCCATTTTTTTTCTGTCTTTGGACGTGACACACTTTCTTAAGCACACATCTCCAAATGACAACTAAAACAGATGTTAGAAGTCGAGCCATAACAGAAACGTCCACATGTATACACAAAGCAGCTGGCTGTGGTGATTGAAGGTGACTGCTATCAGGGGGTCTGCTGCTGCGAGTGCTGTAAAGTATCTCATGGTGCCTCGGTGTTCCCAGTACTGACAGAAAGGCCTTACTTAGGGCTTTGGTTTGGCTGGTTCAGTTAAGCAGGTGTCTCTGCCTTATGTCTGAAGTGCAGAGTTTGAGTCCACTCTCTCTCCTCCTCTTTCCTTTCTACGCTTCCCTGCAAAACTGTCAAAATGAAATCTTAAGAAAGAAAGATATTAAGTTAAAAAATCATCTAAAAATGTAATATTTTCTGTTCCAAAACCTCCTCTCCAAAATGGGCTACACGTCCATGGGGATCCATTCAGTGCAAACTGTATCAAGAAGTCTAAAAAGTTCTTGGTTATATTACATTGTTACACTTATTCCACCAGCATCTCCAGATGTTGCTAATTAACATGTTTATTTAATCCATAAGAAAACAACAGTACGCTTAGGACACGCTGATATATTAATGATGGATGTGTCCCAGATCGTTTCTTTACCTGGTGCAGTGATAACAAGGCTGCAGGCTAAGTGCCGAGCTCATTTAACAGGCTGCAGCGTCACACTAAACAGAGACATCAGAGAGGTACACAATAAAATCTGCAGCACAAAAGGAAAATAGGGATCAAGTTTAGACCTTCTGCTGCATTTTTATATAC